TACAATGTTGTAAAGTGACTATAACTCAATTAAAAAGTGTTAAAAAAGGAAAAGAAAGTTCTAAAAAATAAATAAACAAACTGCCTTTAGTGTAATGGTGCATTTGTCCACCCAGCAGTTCAATAAAAGCATTTTCAATGGAGCACATCTTATTTTTATTTAGAGACGTCCAACTAATTACAGTGCATTAAGAATAATTAACTATTGTAAGACTAGACCCATTGACTACTGAAGATACAAACATCTTACATAGCATACAATGGGTCTTAAAATGGAACAGACTTTTTGAGAACCCTCCTTTGAGAATCTGCTATACTGTCAGTATAACTTATTTTCTGAACCCTCCACTGAAGAAAAGGGCTTTTTCTTGATAGAACGTGGCCATTTTGTGGTGCGTAAGCTTCTCAATTAGATCAGGCTTTCTCAACAGCGGGCGGCACTAAGGCCACTTTGAACTGGATAATTCTTTGATGAGGGGAGCTGTCCTTCCATGGACGGTCTCCAGCCTCTACCACTGGATGTCAGCACCACTCCTACCCTCAGTTTTGAATGATCAGAAATGACTGCAGACATTGCTAAATGTTCCCTGGGGTGCAAAACTGCCCCTGGGTGAGAACCACTGACACAGACAGACCAGGATTCAGATCTTGGTTTTGTCCCTTACTGGCTGTGAGACCTTGGGCAAATTACTTAATCTCTCCAAGCATCATTTGGCTCAAGTCTGAAACAGGGATAAGAACAGTCCCTAGTGTTCAGTGCTTCAGTGAGCATTAAATGATGTAAGGGATGTAAAGCCCTTAGCCCCGCTCCTGGCACAAGACAAATGCTCAATAAATGTTAGCTCTACTTACTACTTTGGTTCCCTACACACAGCATCCTGACGGTTGGAAATGCCCATCGTGATCTGATGACTCCTGGTGCCCACCAAATGTTACAAAATGTGTTCAGCAAAAAGCGACATCTTAGACGCGTTGACGCGCTTTGGCAAATCATTCCACACTCAGTGTCAAGGACTGGCTGGGTTACAGGCAAACGTCACACCTCACCATAAGCTTCAAAGTCATGATGAAGTGCATCTCCTGGTCCAACCTCAAATGTTAATCTCTGTCAGAGCCAGACGGACTGTCTAGTAATTGGACACACAGTAGAAGGCAAGGTGCCAGTATGGTCAGCTGTCAGGCACACTTAAAAAAAAAAAATTCTACCCGATATATGCTCAGTCATTGGCACCACTGCTGTCCAAATGTCAGCCACTGTAAAGGACATCATTTGCATCTCACACAGTTGGGGAGGAACGGGCCACAACAAATGGCTGTGGATGCTAAGTGCACTGCTAATCACCCAACCCTGTAGGTCCAGAATGTGGCCACCAACAAGGCCAACTGGATTTTGCATTCAGAGTCAGAGCCACCCTAAATTCCCCAGCTGCAGCTGACTAACACTTGTGCGTTGATGTCTGTGCATTCACTTTCCGAAAGCCCTATCTCCGCTCTATAAATCGTATGTCCTAGACCCGAGTGTACTTGAAACCTCATTACCACATTTCGTCAAATCTACAATGAGTAAGTCCTTTATGTCCCAGTAAGAAAAAGAAAAAGTACCGCCAATCATGACTGCAACAAATCATCTAGTATACGAATTATCCCAATTTCACAGATGTTTAAATGTGAAAAAAAATTGTCTTGGAATCAAAGAAACATCATATTTCATCCAATGATTGGGCTGAAAACTGTGAAATAAACATGGAAGGCCAACTGGACTTGAAATCTACTTAAATGAGATTTTTCAGTTGATGTTTTTTCGTGAATATTGAAGTTTTAGACACAGAATGTTTACAATTTTGAAAATATGGACGAGAATTAGGAAGAAAATCAAGTTACATGAAATTTTACAGCTGCTAATATTTCGAACTCTTTCCCAACCGGTCTCAGCGTGTACATGTTTATACAATGTCAGGATCAGGTTGTGGTTCCATTTGATATTCTGCCTTCCCGCATTTCCTAATATAACATGAATGTATGCCCATATCTTTAAGTCGCCTCCATAATGACAGTCATTGTAAGAGCTTGTTTCTATCCACATGTGTTGGACAGGTCCTTTAAAAAAAAAAGTATGGTCTGCTGGATTAAAAAACCTTTGAGAAACTACTGAGTAGGGCCCAATTCTCTTAATACCCTATGTTTTCAAACATATTTCTTGCAATGACATCAGACCAGTTAAAGGTGAATCCATCTTGTTCAGAACCAATATTGCTGTGAAAGCCCTTTCATCCTGAAAATTAAAGCAATGCAATAATAAAGCATTTTAAAACTGAGAATGTCACTGAAGGCCAAGTTTACCTACTCATAAGACTGAAATTCCAAACCATTTTTATCCTAAGAAAGTTAGACTTAGTTCCAGTCTTTCTTTTCTCTGTCACTGAGTGAACGGGTTTGGAAATGGGACATTCCATCCAGAGTAGTGACTTCTGTGTCTCAACAAAACCCTTACTCATTACTAACCTGGTAAAGTAACGGCTGCTTTCTGGCTGGGTTTCTTTCCACATCTAATTCGGTATTCATTGATTGCATTTTCAATCTCCTGAAGCTTTTTCACCGCATCCGTGTAATCTTGCTTTCGTTTTTTCTTCACGGTTTTACAAAGGTCTGGCTCGTTGGCAAGTTTCTTTGCAGCTTCAACCAGCTTTTGCTGGATTAGGAAATTGCTCTCCAGTTCTTGCAAAGCAGGATCCTGCATTTACAGGATAATACAGTTTTACTTTTATGGACACATATAGTCACTCTCATAGGCTCCAGATAATAAAAGTTCTCTTTCTCGTGCATTCTCAAATCAGATGCTCTTTGAGAATAAAATCTTCCTAAGTTTTACTGCTTAGGTATTCTCATCCCATTCCTAGAAGACAAGACCTCCCTCTTTCAATTTACTTTAACTTCTTATTAGTCCAAATCTCTTTCCTTTTCTTTTTTTTCAGGGGGGAGGTAATCAGGTTGATTTATTTATTTGGTTTTTCAGTGGAGGTACTGGGGATTGAACCCAAGATCTCGTGCCTGCTAAGCACATGCTCTACCACTTGAGCTATACTCTCCCCCATCTTTCCTTTTCAAAGAAAGGAACTGCCTTCCATTCATTCAGTTGATTGGATGAAGAGCATATTTTTCAAGAAGGGAATCTTAACCCAAAATTCATAGCCACAGAATGTTATATTCACATGCATAGCTTTAGAAACAAATAAATTTAGGTTTGATTCCTCTTTCTAGGTGGTTCCTGCTTGCATGACTCTGGACATATTGCTTAATTTTTATTTGTAAAATGGAGATCACAAAAGTATGAAGATTAGAGACAATATATGTACATTGTTTAGCTCAGAGCTGCATATAAAGTGAATGCTCAATAAACAGCAATGCTCACTTTATTATTAATGGAAACCCAGCTATCATTTTCTAAAGCCAAGATGGCTAAATTTCTGCAAGAAACATGAGTAGGGTTATCAAGTCTGATGACATGCAAATGAGAAAGTTCCCTCTATAGTGGCTAACAAAGCTTTTAACTTTATTATACCTCAGTGCTGTACATGTGTTATTTCACTGAATACTCCTTGTATCCCTCAGAGGGAAGAACAATCATTACCCCCATTTTACAGATGAGGAAACTGAGACCCGGGAAATGAGACAGCACAGAGGGACGGCTATTTGCCAAAGGCTACTTGGTTTTAAGTGGGAGACTCTGATGCTGGAATTCTTAATTCTTATAACAATAATGTTTCCCAATTGATAAACCTCTAGGGTTCGTTTAATGCTCTCTATATTTGGAGTAAAGCCATAAGAAATAACTCAAAATTAACTGGACTGTGCATGAAAGAAAGACTTCAACTTGGTCTCCATTATCACTTCCGA